GGTTCCAAAGAGGATAGATCTAGACTGTTTTCAGTGGTAGCAGATGACAGAACAAGGAGTAATGGTCTCAAGTTGCAGCGGGAGAGGTTTAGGTTGGATATTAGGAAAAACTTTTTCACTAGGAGGGTGGTGAAGCACTGGAATGGGTTACCTAGGGAGGTGGTGGAATCTCCTTCCGTAGAGGTTTTTAAGGTCAGGCTTGACAAAGCTCTGGCTGGGATGATTTAGTTGGGGGCTGGTCCTGCTTTGAGCAGGAGGTTGAACTAGATGACCTCCTGAGGTCCCTTCCAACCCTGATATTCTATGATTCTATGATGTCTAAGTAAGTATGATTTTATTAATTACAATAAGCTCTCTGAATTCACTAACAAACTACCTCAAAAGGATAGATTTCAGTTCCAAACAATCATTGATGAAGGTAAATTGCTAGCTAGATTGGCCCTTCCTGGCTTCAGTGGACGCAGCAGCCTCCCTGTTTGATGGCAACACCCATAGTTATGAGATGGGCTTTGTGACACCAATCCTCCAGATTTTCAAAAGAAGTTCAGTCCACTACAGAGGATCTGCCTTTCATGGGAAATAACCTATTCAGTGAGAAAACAGAGGAATTGTTACATATCCTCAAAGACTCAAGAGCAACTCTTTGTACTCTGGGTATCTGCATTCCAGCACCAAGGAGGATATATATCCTAAGGCTCAATCTTACATGCAATAACCATCTCCTCAGTCATTCTACTATCAAAGAGCTTTCAAACCTCCTAGAAAACACCAAAGAATACAGTATAGTGAACAGAATGTTCCTTCTTCATTATCCTTCTAGCCCCAGCCTCCCATCAAGAAATCTTTTTGATGGGACTTTTGTGTCCCCCCCTATCACATCCACATATACGGAGATTCTATACCCCAGTCTAAAGAGTGTATTCCAACAGTGGGGATTCCCATTGTGGGATCTCTTTGCATCCCAAGAAAACAAGAAAAGCTGGCTTATTGCTCCAGAGTGGCTAGGGGCCTCAACTCCAGAGGGGATGTGTTTCTAGTACAATGACCAGAAACACTGATGTATGCATTCCCACTCATCCCTCTCTTACGTTGAATCCTGAGTAAAATCATACAGGACAAAGCATTGGTGATCTTAGTTTTTCCTCAGTGGTCAAGACAGTTTTCGTTCACCAGCCTTCTCTAGATGGCCTCACACCCGTTCCTCTGCATTCAGCTCTTCCCAGACCTTTTGACCCAGGAGAAAGGCAAGATCCTTCACCCGAACTCAGTATCTCTCCCTTTAACAGGTTATTATGATGGATGACAAACATAGAATGATCATGCTCAGAGATAGTACAATCCATTCTTAGTTATAGCCGAAAAGACTCCATGAGAAAATGCTATACAGCTAAATGAAAAAGATTTTCTACCTTGTGCCAGAATCATCATAAACCATCAGAGGATGCTTTATGTCCCTACTGTTCTGGACTACTTCCTTTCTCTAAAAACATTGAGACTATCTAACATCTCCTTGCAAGTGCACTTGAGAGTAACTTGTGCCTTTCACCCTCCAGTGGACAGACATTTGGTCTTTGCCCATCCTCCTACAGAACTGTTTCTGAAGGGACTTGTCAGAAACTTTCTTCTGGTACTGAAACCTACCCCAGTATGGAATCTCAGTTTAGCCCTAATAGCATTAATGAATGTTCCATTTGAACCATTAGCTCCATTTTCCTTTGCTTATCTAGCTACAAAGGTTACCTTTCTGGGTGCAATTACCTCAGCAAGAAAAGTAGGTGAGCAGTGGGTCATTATGGTGTATCTGCCCTATATGGTCTTCCAGAAGGACAAGGTTTCCTTGAGGTTATAGCCTAAATTCCTTCCCAGAGTAATCTCAGAATTCCATCTGAACAAGGTAATCCACTCACCTGTCTTCTATGTGAAGCCACATGCCACCAGACTGCAAAAGCATCTATGCTCTTTGGATGTTTGTTGAGTCCTGACATTACACCTACAAAAGGACAAAACCCTTCAGGAAATCCCCTAAACCAGTGGCTCTCAAACTTTTGTACTGGTGACCCATTTCACATAGCAAACCTCTGAGTATGACCCCCCCTTAATAAAGTAAAAACACTTGTTTATATATTTAACACCATTATAAATGCTGGAGGCAAAGCACGGTTTGGGGTGGAGGCTGACAGCTTGCGATCCCCCATGTAAGAACCTCATGAACCCTGAGGGGTCCCGACCCCCTGTTTGAGAACCTCTGCCCTAAACTGTTTGTCTCCTTTGCCAAATGCACAAGTGGGGGGGCAGTCTCCTCACAGAAACTTTGCAAAGGGATTTCAGGCTGAATCTTGCTTTGCGATGAACTAACTGCGACCTCTCCCCCACAAATGTGAGGGCCCGCTCGACCAGAACCCAGGCTATGTCAGTAGTTTTGCTTTGAAGTGTCCCTCTTGTGGAAATCTGTAAAGCAGCGGGATGGGACCCTGTGCACACCTTTGTGAGACATTACACACTAGTACAAGCCTCTACAGCAGATGCAGCCTTTGGCAGAGCAGTCTTCCAATCTGTGGAAGCGGTTCCTCACCCCAACTCCCCTTTTCAATGAATACTGTATGTAAGTCACCTCAAGTGGAATACACATAGGGACCATCACTCAAAGAAAGTACGGTTACTTCTCTTGTGCAGTTACTGGAGTTCTTTGAGATGTGTAGTCCCTATGTATATTCCACTACCCACCCTCCTTCCCCTCTGCTGTGGATCCTTCTGGTAATTCACTATAGAGAAAGAACTGGAGAAGTTGTCAGTGCACAGTGCCACTGATGCCCTCTGTTCAGAACACAAGGAGGCGAAGGGTGCAGGCATGGATCAATGGAGCAGGGGGTTGGACTAGATGACCAACTGAGGTCCCTTCCAACCTTCATATTCTATGGTTCTATGGTACTGTTAACAAAAATCTTCTGGTCTCAGACACATGGACTATGTGCACATAGGGGAATCCACATAGGGACCAAACATCTTGAAAAATTCCAGTTACTGTACAAGATAAATAACAATACTTTTCCAGATGGACTCAATAATTCAGAAGCTACTAACTAAAAAATCCTGATTGACATACAAGTTTAATAATTATTTCCATTCCCTCAGACCTACTGCTCAAGGTACCATGTTTAGCATGTGTACACATATAGTTTATCAGGGGAGTATAGTACCTCTAATTACTTACTTATTTAATTTGGAACAAAGTGGCACCTCATGACTGTCAGAAGGGAAGGCATATTTAGGCCTTCCGGAAGCCTGCTGTGGATTTTAAGATTCTGTTCTGATAAACCAAATCTCTATGGATGTGGCCTCGAGGTATGAATGTGGTACTTTACTGATGGTGTCAACTTTTCCCTTATTTTTTATTTCTATAGAATCCCTTCTCAAATTGTATCAGTCTGTTCTGGTGTACATGAAGGTACAAAAAGAAACCTATTTTACCTATATAAGTCATCAATCTCTTAGATTTGTTTATTTGGAATTACCTTCCCTTCATTGTTTTTCTCTATAAATAAAAGTATATCTGTAGACTATATTAAATTCCTGTAATAGGTTTCCCTAGTTATCTTCATTTTCTTTATTTAGGACTTAGTTTGGTTAGAAACCTGTAATTGGGACGTGTGATGCCAAAAAGTTTAATTGCCATTTTATTTGTACTGCTGCCTGTTAATCTTGTTGAGAAGTGCAACCCAACAATTCAGATGTATAGACCTGAGATTCATAAGTAATCTTACACAATTGCCTACTACTAAATTAATTTGTCTCTAGTAGACTTAGGTCATTGGATTGAGGTTCACTTACTCAACAGATGGGTCTAACAAATATTTATTAAGGCAAAACACTCAGCAAGTAGTGATCAGTTACTTATAAGTAGGAAGCTTATTAGAACAATCTCATCATAGTCACCTCCAGCACCAGACTCTACAGCTTCAACCTTCCTTTGTTACACAAACTTATTTATAATTTTTGTTATCTTTTCTTATACATATATATTATTCTCATTTCCATGTTAACTCTCCTTCCCCATCAGTACAGGTTTCAAGCTTTTTAATTAGTTTATCTCTTCTTGTTCTCACAAACATGATTACTCTGCAATTTCTTACACATGTGCAGCAATAAACATAATTATTCTGCAATTTGTTACACATACAGTTCTATTTATGCTTAAACTATTGAACATTATCAGAACAGAATCTTAAAATCCACAGCAGGCTTCCAGAAGGCCTAAATAAGCCTTCCCTTCTGACAGTCATGAGGTACCACTTTGTTCCAAATTAAATAAGTAATTAGAGGTACTATACTCCCCTGATAAACTGTATGTGTACACATGCTAAACATGGTACCTTGAGCAGTAGGTCTGAGGGAACGGTAGTAATTATTAAACTTGTATGTCAATCAGGATTTTTTTATAGTTCGCATCTTCTGAATTATTGAGTCCATCTAATCTATTTTGTCCAATAGAAGAACACTCTGATATCAGTGGGATATTCTAACAGAAGGAAAACAGATCATTTTACTCTCCACCCATTTTCCACCATTCTGAATATTGCACAAGGTGGAACTTCACAAAATTACAGAACATGGGCAAACCCTAGATGCTGAATGACTAGTGGGGATCAATCATTCATAATTTTGAAAGATGCCTGAAAATGCTGCTTTACCTACTGCTTTGTTTTAAGTTGGAAGTTCTTGAAATGAGATTCAAACTAAAATTCAGTGTATGTATGTTAAACAGTTTAAAGATGCTTTGTGAATTGTAAGATACATTTACATCATGTTTCTGAAATATACAGAAATGGTACTTTTTAAATGAAGTATCAGGATTTAAAAAAACAAAAATTTCAGTAGTGAAGGGATCAAAACTTGATTACCCAAATAGTTAAATAAATATTTTTTCCTAAAGCTGCATATTATGAGTAGGTTATTACTGCTATGGATTTTCTTTCATATTTAGTTTTTTATTCTACATTTAGGGAAACAGACATTAAGAAGAAACCTGGGCACAGACTGAGCAAAGCTAAACAGAGGAAAAAGCGAAAAAGAAACAGAAAAATGAAGCATGATAATATTAAAATCACAGAGAAAAAATCAGATGGAGTCCCTTGTCATCTAATTCCTGATGACCAGGAAACATCAGACAGTGAAGAGGAAGATTCAGAAGAAGAAAACAGAAAATCAGTATTTACATTTAATGGAGATCCAGGAGATGAAGGTTGTGAAGATCGTTCCAATGGTGATTGTAATGAAAGCCCAAAATCTACAAAGCATCAAACAGGAAGTTTACCTATTGCTGTGTCTGAGACTTCAGCAACACTAGCTAGTCCAATGAAAAGTGACTTGTTTACAGAAGATGACGGTACATTTCTAATAAATTTGACATCTGCTCCTAATAAAAACTTAATTGAATTTGAACACACATTTGATGATCAGGTGGTTGATCATAACCAAAATAAAAACCTTATGGTAAATGAGAGCAATTCCTCAGATACAGATGATCACAGTTCTGTTCTAGACACAGAATATAACAGTAAAGAAAATAGTTCTATGATGTTAAATAATCAAGATGAACTTACATCAGATCAAATTGCATGTGAACCTGATCTAGAAAGTAAATTGTTAAATGTGAGTAATGGAAAAAAAGAAACCCTGTCTCTCCAGCATGATTTGAAAACATCTGAAATTTGTGTTGTCTTGCCTGATAAAGCCATGAAAGACAGACAGACATCAAAAAGGTATGAGAAAAATCCTTGGGCTTTTTTTTCAATTGATTTAACTGATATACAATTCCAGCTTGGCTCTGATAGGTCGGGTTCTTGTTCTTGGCCTGAGAGGACCCATAAATTCATATGCGAGCAAAGACCAAAAAGAGTGAGGCGGCCTAAAGAGACCTATCCTGACAGCACAGTAGAACAAACTCGTGAATCTAATGAAGAATTAGAAAAAGAAACCAGTCTGCAAACATTAATTGAAGAGTGTGGCAGTGTAACACATGGTGGTCTACAGTCATCACTGATTGACAAAGTACATCATAATTCATTTATAGAGTCGGGAGTCACTGTCACAAACTGCTTAACTGAAGTCAATGTTCCAAGCAATGTAGGTACACCAGTTCCATCAAAGAAGAAAGGAAGATGCAAAAGGATTTTCAACTTGGCACCAAACTTTCATCTACCAAGGCAGATTGCTGTTAGTACAAAGGAGGGACTGAAGGATGTTCTATTAATGGATGATAACCTATCAGAAAATGTTTTGAAAACAGAACAAGAGAGAATTTCAAATAAGGACAATGGAAAGAAGAGTGAACAAAACCTTGAATTTCAAGAACATCTAGCACCTTCTAATAATGATGTGACAGATTCTTCACTTAACCATGGTGTGGGATCTCTCTTACATAGTAGTCAGTTGGGACAATCTCTGTGTCTTTCAAAGAAAGCTGTTTCTTCTCCAGCTCAGAAATTTCCCTCTAGTTATTGTATAGTTTCTTCAACAAGTAAGGAACAAATTACAACTTTTAAACAAGAAAAAATACTTGATAAAAAGAGGGTGAGAGAGAACAGTTCTCTGTAGAGCTTACAAATAGTCAACCAGATATTTTGTGTTCTGTTAAAGTAACATCTGACTGTCCTACATACCCTCATGTATTTGAAAGCTGTGGTGAAGATATGTACAAAACAGATGAAAGTAAGCCATCACAGTCCTCACAAATTGAAGCTAATCAAGATACTTTAAATTCTAAATCCAATTTTTTGGGTCTTCCCTTATCATTGGGATTTGCATTTCAACTTGTAGACCTTTTTGGTTCTCCTGGATTTCCACTGGGTAATATTATTATTTATTATTATTTATTTTTAACAGTGCCCAATGATATAAGTCTCAGTTTCTTATTGCAACTAGCAATTGTACAAATGTGATAATATACTGTAGCTGATCACTGCTTGCCAATATAGATACTTTTGATGGCATTCACTTAGTGTCTTGCAAATGGTACTTTGCACCAAGATTTTGCTTTTCAGCTCTGCAGATTATCTATTATGCAATGATCATTGTTTTCTTTTGTTAGCAGTTTACCCTCATTGCATGATCTTGCGTAATGCTGAGTATTTACTAACTTTAAATCCAAGGAATGATGTCCTTGTAGCTGTGTTGCAATTTCAGCTGCACAAATACATCATACTGAGTGAATTTTTAACCTGTCATTTAGAAACTGCATGAAAACACGTGCTATTTGGATTTGGATTTCTTTGCTGGTAAATGTTTGTTTCACCTTCGTAATACAGTAGTATCCCTTTACTAATAATCTAAAGTTATAGGGTAAAATTTTCAAAAGCACCTACATTACATGTTCAAATGTGCCATAGACATTTTGGAGGCTTAATCCCACTGACTTTCAAATAGACCTACTCTCTTAAATCACTTCAGCAGTATGAAAATTTTACCCCTAATCAAATTTAATTTGAAATTGAAATTAAAAACCATAAAGTATATTTTCTAGTACTGAACATATTCTTTTAATCATGCAGTCCACACCTTCAGATGTCATGGTTAGAAGGTAAATTAACAAACAGAGCTTGAATTTTCATATTCTAGTGTCATTTAATGTATATTAACTCATGTAGTATAAATACTTTCAGAAAGATCAAAAAAGAATGAACTGCTTAAGCTATAATTCTTCAGACTTAGGCACATGGTTAATTTTACAATGGGACTATTCACATGTCTATATTTGAGTGTACATAAATCTTTAGAGCCCTGCGCAGATTCAGAATTTATATTCTCATCCAATCCATGATCAGAAAAAATGGTCTGTGGACATAAAGCAGATATCCACAGATTTGCAGGGCTTTATAAATCTTCACAGAATTGATGTCACTTAGGCCCCTGTTTAGCGAGCTACTTGTGAACCTTCTAACTCTCTAATTGTAGTCTCTCCTTAATGAAAACATTAACAACTGCACTAGTGCAGCTACGCCGCTTAAGTTCTCTATGTAGCTGTTCTAACCTGATGGGAGAGAGCTCTCCTGTCGGCTTAATTACTCCAGTCCCCACGACAGAGGATGGCGGAACCTTCTGAAAAGTGGGGGGGGATGGCCCTGCCCCTTCTGCCCAAGGCCCCGTCCCTGGACAAGCTGGAAGCTGGAGTGGGCCAAGAGCCGCAGGTCCTCCACCTACCTGGGGAGGGGGGGGGGGCAAGAGCAGGCCCCGGCCCATGTCCGTGCCCCACAGGTCCCCCGCCAGGCCAGGAGGGTCTGCAGCTCCCCACAGCTGCCCGTGCAGCTTTTACCTGACCTGACTCTGGCCAGGGGATGGGGCCTTGGAGCCACAGCCCAGCCATGGTAAGAGCAATGCACCCTCCATCTGCCCTGGGTGGGGGACCTAGTGGGGGTGGGGACATGGGATGGAGACTCCTCTCCGCACCCCGGCTGCTGGAGTGTCCGCAGCACAGCACCCCGTGCTACCCGGAGTCCCCAGCCAGGCTCCAGCTGCCAGCCTGGCCGGGGCCTCAGGTGGAAGAGGAGGGGTAGGGGCGGGGCCTGTGGCAAAAAGTGGATGGGCCAGGCCCATCCACTTTCAAGAAGTAGGAGGGCCATGGCCCTCTGGGCCCCCCTATTTCAGTGCCCCAACCCCACGAGTGGCGGCAGCTATGTTGGTGGGAGAAGCTCTTTTGCCAACATAGTGCTGGCCACACCGGTGCTTAAATTGGTATAAGTTATGTTGCTCTGGAAGGTGGCTAATTCACACCTGTGAGTGACATAACTTATGTCGACTTAAGCTGTAGTGTAGCCATAGCCTGAGGTACTGGCCACTTGTGATCATTAAAGAACCCATAGCATTTTTCTCAGAATTACAGGTGTTAATTCCACTTTCCTAGCCATATTCTGATTTGAGTATCAGTATTATTTCTTTTTTAATGTCTGCTTCAATTTCAGTCATAGATATTTTTCCTCATTGCCTGTCCTAAACTGTTATGTACTGCTGCGTATTTTAAGGCAACTACAATGAATTTGTGGGTGAATGGTTTCATAAAGCATTTAGGAATAGTCCTAAATGAAAGGTACTATAAATGTTGTTAGTTGTTCTATGGGAAGGTAAATAGCTTTTTAGTTAACAAATTTATTTGTCACTTATTTACAGTTAACACATAGAACATATATTCCATAAACATTTTACACTGTTTTTCTACAAAGCATTTCTTTTCAACTTTAATCATTGAGGAACTCTATCAGGTTAAAAATATGACATATTTATAGAACAATTTCCATATACTATGTTAAAATATCCTCTTATTATAAATGGTTAAAACTGATAAAATTTTAAAAACTAAATTCACTTTTTGTTTAAGATGTTTATTTACTTTTTGCATTTTACTCAATTTAGAGAATGAAGTTTCACTTTTGTTTTTAGTGATTTTCCTAGTAAATTTCACTTTCCAGTTCCCATGTGCTTGGACAAAGCAACAATTTTGGGTGTGTAAATACTGCAGGAAGATCTTTGGTTTAAAAAATATCTTTACATTGGCATTAAACAAAAATATAGAATTTTTTTAATTGGTCTTAGGTTGTGTAGAAGCTTATTTGTATAAAACCTAAATTCTGGGCTTTGTTTGAGCTCGCAGTATCTCCTTCAGATATGCATGAAACCTGACAAAATATAATGCCATGAAAATGTCTTGTTCTTTTTCAGTGTCTTTATTGCCGGATGATTACATAGTTCCTCTTGACTGGAAAACATCAAAGATGATCCATTTACTATGGAAGACATCTGTGGAGGTATGGGTTTTAGTTCTCTGCAAGGCTTTCCTGTATTTTAGGAGTAAAGAGGCACCATTTACTCTAGGGTGCAATCAGAATTTTCCGAAGAAGTGGGCCCAGGTCACCTGCCATGTCCTCACTGAGCCACCATCTCTCCTTCCAGAGTGAGACCATAAGTGGAAGAGACGGTGTGAGGAGATGGCATCCTGGGGTTCTGGGAAGCAGAGAGCTGGGTCGAGGGGGTGCTGGGAGCCAGAGCCACAGGAGAAGCTGCCACCCCATGTCCCTGCCCTCCCCTCCCACAGGACCAGCTGGGACCTCCCCTTCCCCTGGAGAGACCAGGGGAGACTGTGAATTTGTGTTAGCATCTATGCCCCTCCTGTTACCCCCCGCCCATCATTGTGCTTCTGCATTCAGTTCATGTGGAGAAAGAGTATTTCTTGCTGATAGATCCATGTTTTATATAAGTGAATACAAACAGTGAAGGAAGAGCATTATATAGGTCCTGTCCTGCAAGCCCTGTGCAAGGGAGAGCTCTAACCTTATAGCAGGGTTGAGGGTTTAGGTGGACAGAGCAGAAAAATATATGAACCAGTCAACAAAAATAAAACCTTTCCCTATTGCTCAGGGTCCTTCTTTTTACCCTGCAGATACTGTCCTCCATTTTCCTTTTCCTCCTCCTGTTCTTCTACCACCATCTAAGCAGACTCCGCCCTCTGGTATCTGCAGTTCCTTACCCATCAATTCTAGCAAAAATGCTCTGAGTGGCTGACTGGGATTTAGCTTATTTTGTCTAGTCAGAAACTGTAATTGTTTTATACTCCATCAATGCACTCTATTCCGAGACCCAGCTCAGTGCCACTCCCCTCTGTTGGTGAAGAGAAAAAAAGAGCCTTTCTCCAAACCTTCCTCCCTTGTGGGGATAGATAAGAAGAAATCACCCTAAGTGTGTTGAGGGGAGGAGGTGAATGAGCTTAGAAGCATAGAAACATAGGCTGGAAGGGACCTCAAGGAGGCAGAACCAAGTGAACCTAGATCTAGCTTATAATTTCACATGTTAGGAAATACCCCATTATTGACAAAGTAGGACAATGCAGAGCTGTAAGTAGATCTTCTAAAGGTCTGAATGTAAGCATAGTTTCATATTTCAATATTACGTATTTATATACTGTTTATACCAGAGTAGTTTAGTCAATAGTTGGACTGAATCATATTTCTGAAATAATTTTTATATTTCTTAACCTTTCTTTTGTCACTTCTCAATGAAAGGATAGCCTATTACTAGGGCTGTTGTTTTATGGTGGCAGTTTTTAGGAGATAATACAGGATAGTGTGATGAAAAGGACAAAAGCCTTGTAAATACAGTTTAAAAACTTATGTAATGTAATATGGACTTTGTTCTGTACACTGATTACCCAACCCCCCCAGACCATCATATATATTTCCTTTTTCTTCTCTCCTTTATTATTGCTTATTTTATTTGTTTTTAGAGGAAACAGAAAAAGAATGGATTACAGAATGGGAATTCTTTGGCTGGTAAGCATAACAAAATGATTGTAAACGTTATTTATTCAGTGCAACAATCAGTTAATGTGTTACCCGGGGTTCTTTCAACCCAAAGCTCTTGGTAACTTTTACTCTGTGCGAGGAGGCATCAGGAAATAAAACAGGGGAGACATGGCCATCAGACCGATAGATGGTTGGCACAAACAGGACAACACAAGAGTGCTTTCACTTAAAGCTAAACCTTTACTTAGTCTCAAGCACTTACATACGTCCGCAACAAGATTAGTAAAACACCCCCAACCCTTGATAATT